ATGCTTAATTAACTCACAATCATCTGCTTCTCTGATTGAACCCTGAACGATACACTCATAGGCATCCGGGCAACAAAGGCCTGGGTTGTCCAAACCCTGCACATTCCTAAAAAACGACTGGCCCTTCACTGGCTCCTGGATAACCTCTAAGCCCTTGGAGTATCCTGTACTAACAGTGTGACTGACGGCGGGGGCCTTGGGCCACACAGCATCAGTCTGACCTCTGGAGGGGCTGGAGGCTGAGTGACTAAGGTCAGCCACACAGGTGCTCCCTGCCTGTGTGATCAACCCAGAATAAAAGTCCTGCTCACTGACGCTCAGGTGAGCTTCCCTGGTTGGCAATACTCTGTATGTGTTGTCACACACTGTTGCTGGGAGGATTAATTGCTGTCCCTATGGCTCCACTGGGAGGGGAAAACTGGAAGCTTGCGTCTGGTCTCTCCTGGACTCTCTCTGTGCACCTTTTCCCTTGGCTGGTTTTAATCTGTATCCTTTTTCTGTAATGAACTATAACTGTGAGTACAATAATTTTTCAGAGTCCCATGAAACCTCCTAGCAAATCATTGAACCTGAGGGTCTTGGGGACCCTTGACACAGCATCTCAAACTCAACATGGCCCAAATTAAATTTCTGATTCACCCCCTCCCCTCTTCTCTGAATCTGCTCTCCATCAAACCTTCCCCGTGAAAATAAGTGGCATCATCTTCCTTCTAGTTGCTCATTCCAAAAACCTAGGGGTTACACTTGCTGAGTTTCCCTTGCATCTCAGATCCAACCCATCAGCAAAACAGCAAAGGCTGTTACTGCAGTATAAAATATTTACCGAAAAGTGCACATATCACAGGCATACAGTGTGCTGGGTTTCACAGTCTGAACACACCCGTAACTAACACCCAGAACAAGAAACAGAACTTTACCAGCTCTCCCTCCCCCGGGGGTCCTGCATTTCAAGTCATTAGACATTACTCAGGAAACCACGACCTCAACTTCTAACAGCACAGATTATTTTTCCCTGTTCTTTGTACTTCATATAAATGGAATCATCCCGTATGTGCTCTTGTGTATCTGGCTTCTTTTGCTCAACATTTTGCAAGATTCATCTACATTGTTGCGTGTAGTTGTAGATCATCCATTCCAATTGTGATGTGTATTTTGTGGTGTGAACATGCCACAATTTATCCATTCTTCCGCTGAGTGTCAGCTGGGTAGCATTTAGATTTTGACTATTATGAATGGTGCTGCAATGAATATCCTTGCCCATGGCTTTTGGTGAACACATTTCTGTTGGGTATTTATATCTACGCGTGGAGTTCCTAAGTTGTAGGGTTTGTATATGTTTTGCTTTAGTAGATACAGCCAAAGAGATTTCCCGAATGGTTGTACTGATTTACACTGCCAGCATCCACGTACATGCACAAGAGGTCTAGTTGCTCTTCTCATCAACACTTGTTACTTTTTACTTCCTAATTTTATCCATTCTCAATCAGCAAATTTACAACAGCTTCCTGTGCTAGCGCTAGATTTTAGTACAAGTTGCCACAATCTTCTAACAAGAACATCCCATTTGGCAGCAATTATGCCACACCTTCTTGTTACTTTCCTGGACCCAATGGTTCAACCATCCCAGAACAAACTCTGGGTCACTGGAAAGATGGTGCAAGCAGAATGTTCAGCAATGGGAAGGCCCCTTGGAACTCTTGCCTTTACAATATTAATAACAGCTTACTACGTGTCAGGACCAAACACACATTTGACCAAATATTGAATGGCTGAGTATTTGGTCACAGGCAAAAATCACCATCATAGAATGAACTTTAGAAAATATAAGAATAAATCTAAAGTTCTACCAGAACATTTAAATTTGTATCACAATTTTATTTTTTAAAAATTTAGTAGCCAGTATAATTTAGTAGCACAGTCAGCTACTAGCTTGCTTCTCTGGCTACTCCATTGCCCATTTATGATACCAAATGGCCAATGAAGGAACAAGACTTTTTTTTTTTGGCTGAGGAATATTCGCCCTGAGCCAACACCTCTGCCAATCTTCCTCTATTTTGTGTGTGGGTCGCCACCACAGCATGGCTACTGACAAGCGGTGTAGGTTTGCACTTGGAACCAAACCCAGGCTGCCGAAGCAGAGTGTTCCGAATTTAACCACTAGGCCACGGGGCTGGTCCTGGGAACAAGACATTTTTGACCAGCTCTGCGGATGGTGATATGTCACCAAAATATCAAGCTTTTGTTCCTTGCTAAAAGTAATTGACTAAAGCAGAAGATTTCTCTCCTCTTCAACTCACAAGCTGAAAGATCTGGTTGGTGGTGATGATGCTATTTCATTGAAATGATCCCACAAAATGAAACTTTGAGCACTGCTAGAAAAAGCTGCTTTTGGGAATCTTTTCAGGGGCTGACTTACGATTGATGCTCTCCGTTTTCTGTTGTGGTCACGCTTTGTCAATCATCACCAATTCTTGCTGCATTCTGCTTTTGCAATAGCTTCCCGTTATCCGTTGCTGAATAATAAGCCATCCAAAATGTAGTGGCATAGGACAACAGCTGTTTTGTGATACTCATAGATTCTACAGGTCAGGAATTCACACAGGGTAAAGGAGGGATGGTTTGTTTCTGCTACACCAAGTCTGGGCCTCCACTGGGATGAAATAAATGGTTGGGGAGTGACTCAAGTGGTTGAAGGCTAGAATCATCTAGAAGTTTCTTTACTCATATGTCTGGTGCCTGGGCTGAGGTCATTTGAAGGCTGGGCTCAGCTGGGGACTGTTGACGGGAGTGCGCACACGTGGCTTCTGCACATGGCTTGGGCTTCCTCACAGCGTGGCAGCTGGAGGATAGCTCTTATTTGGAAGCTCAGGGATCCAAGAATGGAAGTGTCCCATGAAAAGGAAGAAGTTGCATGGGTTTTTATAGCCTAGCCTGAGAAGTCACCCAGCTTCCCTTCCACGATGCTCCCTTGGTTCAATCATTTCCCTTGTACGACACTTTTTATTGGTCAAAGCAGTTACAAGTCTTCTCGGATTCAAGAGGAGGGCACGTAGTAGGTCCATACTTCTCAATATGAGTGTCAAAGAATTTATGGCCATGTTTAAAAACCACTGCATAATATATATTTTCATTCTTCAGCTGATTCACGGAATTTCAACGTGTAAAACACATTGTATTTTTAAACTCTAGTTATAGCTCAAGTGTTTATCGGAATGTGAATATTCAGACGACAATTTGAATGACGTCTGAAATACGATGGGAACTTGGGCAATCAATATTTATTGATTGGGCAATCAACAAATATTGATCACTCCCAAGTTCAGAGACGCCAGAAACGACAGGGAAATAGGCAATCAGCTATTTGGTTTTGCAAAGGCCAATTCCAAAATGAAATCCAAATAACAGATTGTGGTCGGATACCCAGGCCAAAATTGTACATCCGTGCATCTTCCATACGAGATCTCCCTGAATCTTCAAGATTTCAAGATCAGGAAGGTTTTCATCAGTATTCCTATTGTGGAGAACAGGAAGTTGCTCAGAGAGCTAAAATTACTTGTCTAAGACTGCACAGTTAGGGCTGGCCCCGCGGCTTGGTGGTTAAGTGCATGCGCTCCGCTGCTGGCGGCCCGGGTTCGGATCCCAGGCGCGCACCGACGC